GTAACTATGCCATGTGACTTTTTGGATGGATAAATGGATGAAACTTGAAAAAATTGACGATAAGGGTTAAATTGGATGTTTTAATGAATTCAAAGGCTAAATTAGCTGATTTTTTTAATTCGGGGAGTTAAATTCGATTAGTGTGATAGTTTAAAGAATAAAACGGCTTAAACTCCTAAATTATTGGGCACAAAATGGTTTTTGTGTCTAGTATGTCACATATGTGGGACAAAGACACAAATTTTTTGTATATGTCAAAATAATACCACTTACTTTTTCTGAAGGACGTGTTAGCCAGATAGTACCTATATAATTACTTTGGCACAATTTCATGTGCCCTACGTTAGTATTTAGCAAAATCATTTGTGTTTTATACAAAAAGAGCATAAAGGTGACTTATTTGTGCCTAATACACATTAATATTATAATGTGAATGAATTAATAATACCATGTAGCTATGTGACAATCACACTTAGTAATAATTACTCTAATATATGAATCTCCTATTATTGGATCCAGTAATTATAGTCGTGCCATAACTTCCGAGCCTGAAACAAGATTGTATTAATTCATATGGGAAATCTGCATCTCAAACTTCAAATCAAAGAACCAAAAGTTCATAGCGTAGTTTTAGTTTGTGTGAGGGGGTTAGGAATAAAATATCTTAGAAAGACTTCTCTAGATTATGGGCACCGAATTTTCACAATGAGCATTAGCAGCTAGCTACAGTCGAGTAGGAGCTCGACCCAAGAAAGAAAAAAAGGTATGTACGTTGCATACTACTTTAGCTTTCTAATCTGCATGTCACCCAAGAAAAAAAAAGGTGCACTGATGAGGAGGAGGAAAACTTGGCTATTCCAGGTTCATACCTCATTCCTCTTTCTTTTCCACTTACTTGCAAAAGGTAGCCTGCAGAAATCACATTAAAAAAAGAAGACATGATTATAAGAACAAACTGTGCTTATTACATCAGGAACACAAAAGCAAAGAAGGAAAAAAGAAAAAAAGAAAAAAAAGAAAAGCAAACTGAAAATGTAAAACAAACAATACTAGTACATTAATATATCTAGTCTCTAATATTCCTTCTTTTCATCATGTTGATGCGCACTGTTATCATCACATAGAGTCTATCTTGTACATTGTCTATGAATCCAACGTATGCATATCTCCATCTCTTCTTGATAATTAAAGAACCACAAACTCCCCAAAATCCCATTATGAATCCAAATGCGGAGGAAATATAAAACCATGGAAGTTGATGCCCAATGTCCACATCTTTGTTGTTCTTATTATCTTCATCAATGCCCTTATTTGGTCCGCATTTATTTGTCAGTGGGGCACCACAAAGATTTGGATTCCCCTCAAATGCAGAAGCATTGAAGCTTTGGATTTGAGTGGCTTATTGGTATTGGTCCCTGGAGATTGTATGAGACATTAAATTGTTTCAAGAAATGAAGGCTCACCAATGAGGATGGGATTTTTCCAGACAAATGATTGAGAGAGAAATTCAAATTCTCTAAGTTCTTGAGATTAGATATTTGGTTTGGAATGATACCGGAGAAGTTGTTGGAGTCAAGACGCAACTCGCGGAGAAGCTGCAATTGGCCGATCTCATTAGGTATATCACCTTCTAGGTTATTGTTGGATAGGTTTATCGATGCTCCAAAAAAAGACAATTTGCACGGCAGAAAACTTGGATCTGTGATAACCGTGCCAAAAAGAGGCAATTCAAATTCATAACTGTCTACTTGAGGTGCAATATTACGTTCATAAACCAACCTTGGTAGTTTACAAAGTTGCTTTGGGAATTCACCTAAAAGTCGGTTGTGTGCCAATCTTATATAAAGCAGTCTAGGAAGAGCCCCTAACCAACTTGGAACTGGCCTTGTGATTTGATTACCACCCAAAAACAAGACCTCTAGACTTTTTAGCTTTGATAACCATACAGGTATTAGACCAGTGAGCTGAGAATCGGCAAAACTCAATAATTGAAGATTTTGTAATCCATCAAAACCAACCATGTCATCATCAGTAGTCATTCCCTATCACCTACGAAAGAACCCGTAAGCATAAGTGAACGAAGACTTTTGCAACTCATCAATATCTTCTTTTCCCCTTGTGAGGTTGGTAAACCGGTTATAACCAAGCGAGAGATAGGACAAGGATTTCAATGAAAGAATATCATGTTGTATTTGTCCCTCTAGATGATTTCCAGTCAATCGAATGGCTTTTAGGGACCGACATGAGTAAAGGCTAGTTGGAAAGATACCCGTGAATTCATTCGCCAATAGATCAATTTTACTAAGTTGACTAAGTTTGGAGAACGCACTTAATATCTCCTTCCAAGTTGTTGGCTCCGAGATGTATTTCAATAAGGTTTGTGCAATTCATTAAAGATGGGGGCAAAGCACCTTCTAAGTGGTTATAACCAAGAGTCAAAAGTTTCAACTTGGAGAGCTTCCCAATATTGTGAGGGAGCACACCACTCAATTGATTAATGGAGAGGTCAAGGATTGCAAGGTTTGTGAGGTTAACAATTCTATCACTAATGGGTCCATATATTGAATTGAGAGGCAACGCCAATTCTTCAAGTTTGGTAGCATTATAGATATCCACGGGAAGAAACCCTGAGAGGTTGTTGTGGCCAGCACGAAAAACCTGCAGTTCAGAACACTAGGGAGTCCTTGGGAAATGCTGCCATGAAATTTATTGGAGGAAACATCCAAAAGCCTAGTCAATGGAGAAGAATGTTTGCGACAAATAGAGGATGGAATAGGCCCAGAGAAGTTATTGTTGTTGACATTGAAACTAGTCAAATTCCTGGCTTGTTGGAAGAATGAAGATGGGATTGCACCATGGAAGCGATTGCTTGAGAAATCAAGTTTCCGGATATAATTGTTGGATCCTAGATAAAGTGGTAGCTCACCAGAAAGAAGGTTATAGCTCAAATCAAGGATCTGAAGACGATTTAAGGACTTGAAGAATCGAGGTTCAAGTGAACCATAAAGAGAATTGTTTGAGAGGTTCAAGTGGGTGAGATTTCCAAGTGATGAAGGAAACATACCTCCTTTGAGTCCCTTGGAGGGTAAGAGCAAGTGGGTAACCCAACCATCCTCATTACAAGTGATGCCTTTCCAGTGACAACAGTTAACCAAAGTCCAGTTTAAAGTAGGAGAAGATAGAGTGAGGGTGAAGGACAGGAGAGAGGTGCGCTCAAGTTGTTTGCATGCATGAATATTTGTAGTTATAATGGAAGAGAATAAGAGGATGAGAAGGAAGATATGAGCCATTGGATTCTGCGGCTGCATGTCTAGCTTTTGTTTCTTCTTGTATTTACATTGCTCACGGGTTTGGACATATATATATATATATATAGACATAGGAGCAATTAAAAAAAATGTAACTTGTTTCCTATCTTTCTAGAATGTAGCTGATATGTGATACCAGCGCATCTTTCATATGAATCAAAGTCCAAGTTCCAAGTTGTTTTTAGTTTATGATTTTTCTTGGAAAAATTGGAGCCATTGGATAGTCGTTCTTTCCAAGGCCGCTACATTAAAATACAACGCACGACTCATTCAAAAAGAACCTAGACTATTTTACGCGGGATTTTATTTTATTTTAAAAAGGAAAATCATTAGGTCTAAAGAGGAGGCGGAGTTGAGAGGACAAAACCTCTGTATTATTTTAAAGTCTCCGACGACTCCAAGCACTTCGCCGCAACGGAAGGAAAAATGCCATTGGTTAATGCAAACATTAAGAATTGAAATTATTAATTAAATGAGGATAATATGGTAAATCCACACTTTTTCATATTAAAAAAATTAAAAATAAAAGAAAAATTAGATAATGGATCCTATTTTTATGGAACACAACTATCCATTATCTTTTTTTAATTCTAAAATAAATTTTAAATTTTTTTTTAAAAAAAAACCTCTTGCAGGCAGGGACGAATCCAGCTATTGGGCTGTATGGGCTATAGCCCATGCCCATTTTTTAGTTGTCAATATCCATGTAATCTCTCTCTCTAGCCCATGCATTTTGAAAAAAAAATTTCAATACCCATGCTCTGTCTTTTTCTTATTTTCTTCATTTCTCTCTCTTTCTTCTTTTCCTCCTTTCTCTCTTCTTCCCATTTTTTTTTTGTTTTTTCCTCCTTTCTCTTGTTTTTTTTCCTTTGTTTCTCCTTTTTTTTTTTAATGGTTTGGATCTACTACGAACGGAGCTTTTTCCCACAGTCTCTTCTTCCTATATATATATATATATATATATATATATATATATATATATATATATATATATATATATATATATATATATATATATATATATATATATATATATATATATATATATATATATATATAAAAGGATTATTGAAACGTAAATTAATAATAAACTTTAAAAGTGCTTTATCATACATGAAGGCATTAAATTTTTGCAGGACATGCCTTCATGCCCAAACACACTTAAAGGTACTCAGAATAATCTCTGTTTTTAAATGCTTATAGGGTTTGAGAGTTATATAAAATGCTTCTAATTGAGCAGGAAGATAATATGATAATGGCAGAGGTACGAGAATATCTTTCCTTTGTTCTTATTCCTTGCAGGCTCTATGACTAAAACCAGATGATCAAATTCGCACTAAAATGGCTTTAGTACCTGAAAGTCGTCGCAATGTAAAAAAGAGGTTCGTGGCAATATTTCATGAATTTGGCCAAATCTGTTGTTTTTGCCAATCGCATATGCAGAATTTGTAGCTTTAGTTGTGTTTGGGCCAAAACTGATTTGCCCCCATGTCATGGGTTTAAAAAGAAATAAAGACAAATGGGCTCAAACTTTTGTCCATCTCCAGATTGAAGAATTGGACCACAAATAAACTTAATGCCCAAAATCTCACTATGAACCTAATGCGGGGAAGATATAAAATTCCCATAGACTACGTGATATATACGTATTGAGTCATTTTATAGTGAGGGTTTACCTAAGGCTCTATTTTTTTTTTTTTTTATCGTTTGATCAAACTAACCAATTTGATCCAACGATTAAAAAATAAGGCCTCATCCAAGGGTAAGACCCTCAGTATAGAATTCTACATCACATATCAAACAAGCAGAACTCAATCAAAAAGAAGGCTTTTCTACACGGCGATTTGAAAAATAATAATAACTAGCCTCTACACACGCGCTTCCGCGGCTGTAAATAGGGACGAATCCAGGATTTCAAAACTCGGTGGGCTAAATTTACCTTATGTACGCAAGAAATTTCAGCAGTGAAGGACACATCGCACCAAGTTGGACTTTAGAACACATGTGAGAGAAAAAAGAGATACACAAAATAAAAAAGGAGAAACGAAGGAAGAAAAAAAATAAATATATATATATAGGAAGAAGAGACTGTGGGAAAAAGCTCCGTTCGTAGTAGATCCAAACCATTAAAAAAGGAACTGGGGAGGTCGAGCCTTGGCCCAGACATGGTCGCTAGAAGTAGGTGGTCATTTTCCAACCGGTCCCGTAGTTGGAGGTGGCCAGATGGCGGCGTTGTGTCACCGGGAAGATGAACAGTCACTATTTGCACAGTGACTGTGTCGAAGGGGAAGAGAGAGACGCAGGGAAAAGAGAGAAATATGTTTTGTGGTGATACCCACGACTGCCACTTCAGCATTTAACGTCTGACCTGACGGTCAATGTAACAGTCGGTGTAAATTGGTCATATTTTGAAATATCAAGTATAAAATTGATGAAATTAAAACATCGGGGCCCATTTTGATACTGATCCTAAAACTCTATGGACTAAAATTACGTTAACCTTTTCTAAAGCACTAGCCTCTCTACACGCGCTTCCGCGCCTGCGAGAGACTTTTTTTTAAAAAAAAATTAAATTTATTTTAGAATTAAAAAAAGATAATGGATAGTTGTGTTCCATAAAAATAGAATCCATTATCTAATTTTTCTTTTATTTTTAATTTTTTTAATATGAAAAAGTGTGGATTTACCATATTATCCTCATTTAATTAATAATTTCAATTCTTAATGTTTGCATTAACCAATGGCATTTTCTGGTATTTTGAATGTTTCACAATTTTCTTATCTTTTGCTTTATATATATAGATAACTGTAGAACATAAAATTAAAAATAACAGAGCATTCAGTTGTAACGAGAAAAATGTAACAGTCGAGCCATATCTACCTGTAGGGACTTACACATTTGTGGTAGAAAAGTGACAGATATGTAGTGTGTGGTGTTGCTGAAATGGACGGTCAGTAGGAAAAAAAGGTCCTTTCACACGTTCAAGAGAGATTTCCATTAGTGAGTTTGAAGAGGGGGCCACCATGAGTGAGGGACAAGACCTCCTTTTAAAGTCCACACCACAATGACTCCAAAGAACAGACTCTTTAAGTTGTCTTCATGTTGATGATTTTTCTTTGAAAATGATAATGGACATTTGGTGAAGTTGAATTTGTTACGTGCAGAAATCACATCCAAAAAAGAAGAATTATATGAACCAACTGTACCTTATTATTACATCACGAACACAAAAGAAAAGCAAACTGAAAATGTAAAATAAAAAGCACAATAATATATATATCCAGCCTCTAAACCTTCTTTTTATCGTGGGGATGCTCACAGTTATACAGCATGGAGCCAATTTTGTACATTGTCTATGAATCAAAACTATGCATACCTCCATCTCTTGTTAAAAATTAAATAACCAAAAACTCCCCAAAATCCCATTGTGAATCCTAGCACAACAGAAGAAATATAAAACCATGGAAGTTGATGCCCATTCCCCTCGTCTTTATCTTCATCCATGACCTTATTTGGTCGACCACACTCATTTGGAAGTGGGGCACCACAAAGATTGGGATTACCCTCAAAGGAAGAAGCATCGAAGCTTTGGAGCTGGGTGCTTGTTGGTATTGGTCCTTGGAGATTATTGTATGAGACATTAAATTCTTTCAAAAAATTAAGGCTCTCCAATGACGATGGGATTATTCCAGACAAGTGATTCATTGAAAGGTTCAAAACCTCTAAATTTTTTAGATTAGATATTTGGTCTGGAATGACGCTAGAGAAGTTGTTGTAGCCAAGACGCAACATGCGGAGATACTGTAGTTGGCCGATCTCATTAGGTATCTCACCACCAATGTTATTTTCAGATAGGTCTATCATTGCTGGATAGGAAGACAATTTCGACGATAGATAATAACTTGGGTTTGTGATTATAAGGCCCAAGAAGAAAGGCAATTCAAATTCATAACTAGTGTCGTCTTGAGATGCTTCGGAAACCAACCTTGGTAGTCTGCAAAGTTGCTTTGGAAATTCACCAGAAATTTGGTTCTTTGGCAAGCTTACATGATACAGTCTAGGAAGAGCCCCCAACCAGCCTGGAATTGGCCCTGTGATTTGATTACTACCCAGAAGCAAGATCTCTAGCTTGTTGAGCTTTGACAACCATATAGGTATTTTACCCGTGAGCTGGCATTCAGCAAAACTCAAAGCTCGAAGATTTTGGAATCCATCAATATCAGCCATGTCATCATCACCTGGCATTCCCTCACCTTTAAAGGAACCAGTAAGTAGGAGTGTGTGAAGACTTTTGCAACTCATTAATATCTTCATTGCCCCTGTGATGTTGGTGAATCGATTGAAACCAAGCGAGAGGAAGGACAAAGATTTTAATGAAAGAATATCAGCTTGTATTTGTCCCTCTAGATGATTATTGCTCAATCGAATGGCTTTTAGGGACCGACATGAGTACAGGCTTATTGGGAACGTACCAGTGAAGTTATTGAGTCTTATGTCAAGTTTAGTAAGTTGACTAAGTCTGGAGAAATCAAGCATGGAGATATCTCCTTCCAAGTTGTTGCATTGCACATGAAGTTCTACAAGGTTTGTACAATTCATCAAAGATGGGGGCAAAGAACCTTCTAAATTGTTGAAATCAAGGTTCACATATTTCAACTTGGAGAGCTTCCCAAAATTGAGAGGAAGCTTGCTGCCAAGATGATTAAAGAGGAGGTCAAAGATTGCAAGGTTGGTGAAGTTGACAATTTTATCACTAATGGCTCCATATAGCGAATTGAAAGGTAATGAAATTTCTTCAAGTTTAGTAGCATTATAGATATCTTCTGGAAGTAGTCCTGAGAGGTTATTGCGACCGGCCCGAAAAACCAGCAGTTCAGAACAGTCCCCTAGTCCAGGAGCAAGGTTGCCACTAAATTCATTGGAAGAAAAATCCAATAGCCTAAGGAAGGGAGAAGAATGTTTGAAACAAATCGAGGATGGGACATGCCCTGTGAAGGTATTGTTGCTGACATTGAAACTAGTCAAGTTGCTAGCTTGGTGGAAGAATGAAGATGGAATTGCACCGTGGAAGTGATTGCTAGACAAATCCAGTTTCTGGATATTGCTGGATGGTAGAGAAAATGGTAGCTCTCCAGAAAGAAGGTTATAACTCAAATCAAGGATCTCAAGACGATTCAAGGTCACAAAGAATTGAGTTTCAAGTGAACCAAAAAGTGAATTGTGCGAGAGATTCAAGTGGGTGAGATGTGTGAGGTTTGCAAGTGATGAGGGAAACATACCTCCTTTGAGCCCTGTGGAGGGTAGGAGCAAATGGGTGACCCTACTATCTTGATCACAAGCGATGCCCTTCCATTGACAACAATTATCAGAGGTCCAATTGAAAGAAAGAGAAGATAAAGTTAGGATAAAGGACATGAGAGAGCTGCGATCAGTTTGGTTGCAAGCATGAATATGTGTGGACATAATGGAAGAGAAAAAGAAGAAGAGAAGGAAGCCATATGCCATTGGGTTATAAGGCTGCTGCAGTACTAGCAAGTCTTTCAGTGTATTTACATTACCCACAGGTTTGATAGATATATAGGAACAAATAAAGACATAATTTCTTTCTTTTTCTTTTAGCTTGAGATTATTGACCCTGCATTAAACGACACAACACAAAGCGAATATTTTGATGTCTATAGTGATTGGGACTCCAAAGTCAATGTCAAGTAGACCATGCGTGGTTGCAGTCCTTTCACTTTCATGAAGCAATTCCATATTTATTGAGAATGTGGTACCAACCTTCGAACCCAAGACCACTAGGAGTTAGTGCAAGCGCAATGAACCACAAGGGCAGGTTGAAGGCTAGTAAAGCAATTCCATATTTAAAAAAAAAAAAAGATGGGCTTAAATTTCATCTTTGATTTTGAAGGGTTCATACCAACCATGTTTCGTGTGAATTAAAGTCCAAGTGCCAAGTTGTTTTCTAAGAGAAGTTGGGCATTTTTTCCAAGTTGTTTGCCCCACATGAAGGCAACTACATCTACATTAGCAGACATGCAGCAGCACTCATTCGAGAGAAGCCTCTTCTACACGGCAATTAAAAAAAGAATAACAGAGAATAGAGTTGTGAAGGGAATGTTAAAATTGATAACAGCCGCATCAACAATTTTAGTCTCTCAGCTCCAACTACACATCAAATTCACAAAGACAGCTTAAACCCAAAACAACTCCTTTACAAATTTCAACAACAATAGAAAGAAGAAGTAGAAATTACGTATGCCCAGATCAGGATGTATAATAGCAACAGTCAACTTTGAGCTTCCTTTCTTTGCCATTTTCAGCTCTTCTCCAATTCTCTGCAAATTCTAATTCAAAGTCTCAGAGGAGAAGCTTTTTCTGCCATATTGGGCCAAAATTGGGTTAGGGCTAGGCCAACATTTGTAATATAAAAGTATGGACTAACCACTTTTTAGCTGTGGAGGTTTGATTTGGGGTCATTCTTGAATTGGGCAAAGAGATTTTAATTTTGTCAATTTACATCCCAACATTTTAAAATTTAAGTAATTTACATATTGCGTCAGTTTGATTGTTTGGTCTTTTGTTAAATTAATGAAGTGGCAAGAGCGATCCCTACTTTTATGCTTATGTGTAAAAATAAAAAAAATAAAAAAATCTCTAGAACAATATAAATAATATTTGTAAAACAAAAACCCAAAAGATATATCTATGCTGTTTGGTCTTCCGTGCTTTTACTGGTTTTGGTGCCATGTGCCGGGAGGGGGGAGGTGGGGAGCCACCACCAGTGTGGTGGGAACCCATTGGCATGAGATTATTGACGTAGCATTAAACGGCCAAACATCACTTGCAAACTGAGAAATTGGCAAACAACCATAACAAAGCAAAGACCTTGTTATTTTGAAGTCAATAGATTACCGTGATTGGGCGTCCAAAGTCAATGTGATGGGATTGCATATAGTATTAGTCAAGTAGACCATAAGTGATTGCGGACCTTTCACTTTCATGAAACGATTCCATATTTGAAAAATGAAGAAGATTGAAATTTCATCTTTCATTTTGAAGGCATTCGGAATTTATTTTAGTTTGAAAATGATGATTTATCACTGTAAACTGAGAAATTGGCAGACAACCATAACCGTACAATACAAATTCTTCAAATCCCCTCTATATCTATACGTCAAAGAGAGATTTTAAAAGGAAATAAAGACTTTGTCCCACTCTTGGATAATAAAATCAACAAAATGCTGGTCCCGAGCGTGAGGTTTATTCTAAAAAAGTTTTTTTTTTGCCCACAAAACTTGAATGCGAATTTGATCTAGAACAATGCCATCATTGTGTGGCCAATAGTAGTACATGGCTTTCAACTAATGTAGCTAAATTGTAGACCCTCCTTATTTCATAGCTGTTACTATCAAGTGTCCTACATATTATGAGAACAAACTGTGCTTTACATAAGGAAAACCAAAAAAAAAAAGACAACAGAGCAAACACAAATGGAACTGTAAAATAGAAAGTAAATCTACCCTCTGGAAACTAGTTTCTCTGCAACATTAGTTTCTAGATCATCTTGAGCGTTGTTCGACTTAGTGTGTTTGGCTAGTACTAGTCTTTGATTGTGCACAATGCTGACTATATTGCTTCATTGTATCCAAAAAAAAAAAAAAAACAGAGCAAACACAAATGGAACTGTAAAATAGAAAGTAAATCTACCCTCTGGAAACTAGTTTCTCTGCAACATTAGTTTCTAGATCATCTTGAGCGTTGTTCGACTTAGTGTGTTTGGCTAGTACTAGTCTTTGATTGTGCACAATGCTGACTATATTGCTTCATTGTATCCACAAGTCTTATTTGCATATTGAGTATTGACTTTGCACACTGGTTATGAGGGATCGCTAAATTAACTTCTTCTTCTTTTTTCATATAGCCGTATCCGCAGACACTTTTTTATACCCTATACAAGTTATGCACTTGTACCAATAAAATATGATATGATATCACATTCACGTTAGAATTACCGATAGTATAGTTTCTCTCATTTTACTTTGAGACAAGATTTAATATCTCAAAATATTTAGGCTGAACTGTTCTGAAATTTTTGTTTAAGAAAGTCATCTGTAGTTGTGCTAAAATTCTGTGAAATACAAAAACCAGCATTCGGATGGAACCTTGCCGAAAGTTTAATTTCAGAGATAAAGAAAATATTATTGTATTGTCCTCCTGTCAAATTAATAAGTTCGTTTCACTCAATTCTTTGCACCCATAAACATATAGCTGAAGTTGTATTTGTTCCTTGCTTTGCTTTCATAAACATGCTATACAGTTCATATAGTATTCATGATACTGGAAAGGCAAAACTTGTCGTTTTTGTTGCTTGCAGAAAGTAGCGTGAAGAGATCGCATCAGAAAAAGAAGACATAATTATAAGGACAAACTGTGCCTTACTACATCAGTAACACAAAAGAAAAGAAAGAAACAGAAGCAAACAAAAAATGTAAAACAGAAAGTACAATAATATATATTTAGCCTCTAAGCCTTCTGTTCATCGTGTCGATGAATTGAAAATATGTGTATCTCCATGTCTTGTTAATAACTAAAGAACCACAGACTCCCCAAAATCCCACTATGAACCCCAATGCAGCGAAAATATAAAACCATGGAAGTTGATGAAGCCCATTGTCACTGTCTTTGTTGTTCTTGTTATCTTCATCAATGCCCTTATTTGGTCCGCACTTGTTTGGAAGCGGGTCACCACAAAGTTTTGGATTCCCCTCAAAGGAAGAAGCGTTGAAGCTTTGGATCTGAGTGCTTGTTGGTATTGGTCCTTGGAGATTATTGTATGAGACATCAAACCTTTTCAAAAAATTAAGGCTCACCAAAGACAATGGGATTTTTCCAGACAAATGATTCATGGAGAGGTTCAAAACCTCTAAATCTTTTAGGTTGGATATTTGGTCTGGAATGACGCCAGCGAAGTTGTTGGAGTTAAGATACAATTCGCGGAGAAGCTGCAATTGGCGGATCTCAATAGGTATATCTCCACAAATGTTATTGTGAGATAGGTCTATGAATCCTGGAAAGTAAGACAATCTGCGCGGTGGATAAGTTTGTCCTCTATCTGAGATTTTGAAGAGAGGCAATTCAAATTCATATTGGTCTACTTGAGATGCAATAGGTCCATGAACCAAACTTGGTAGTCTACAAAGTTGCTTTGGAAATTCACCTGAAATTCGATTGTGTGACAAGTTGATATAAAACAGTCTAGGAAGAGTCCCTAGCCAACTTGGAATTCGCCCTGTGATTTGATTAACATTTAGACTCAAGATCTCTAGATTTTTTAGCTTTGATAACCACATAGGTATTTGACCGGTGAGGTTACAATAGGCGAAACTCAACATCCCAAGATTTTGGAATCCATCAAAATCAACCATGTCATCATCAGAAGGCATTCCCTCACCTACAAAGGAACCAGTAAGCAAGAGTGTGTGAAGACTTTTGCTACTCATTAATATCTTCATTGCCCCTGTGAGGTTGGTGAATCGGTTGTAACCAAGCGAGAGGAAGGACAAGGATTTCAATGAAAGAATCTCGGCTTGTATTTGTCCTTCTAGATGATTTCCAGTCAATCCAATGGCTTTTAGGGACCTACATGAGTAAAGGCTTACTGGCAACGTACCAGTGAAGTTATTCCCCCTTAAGTCAAGTTTTGTAAGGTGACTAAGTCTCGAGAAATCAAGCATGGAGATATCTCTTTCCAAGTTGTTGAAAGCCAAATGAAGTTCTATGAGGTTTGTGCAATTCATCAAAGATGGAGGCAAAGCACCTTCTAAATTGTTGAAATCAAGGTTCACAAACTTCAACTTGGAGAGCCTCCCCAAATTGAAAGGAAGCTCCCTGCTCAATTGATTAATGTAGAGGTCAAGGATTGCAAGGTTGGTGAGGTTGACAATTTTATCACTAATGGCTCCATGTAGTGAATTTAGAGGTATTGCAATTTCTTCAAGTTTGGTAGCATTATAGATATCTTGAAGCTCCCTGCTCAATTGATTAATGTAGAGGTCAAGGATTGCAAGGTTGGTGAGGTTGACAATTTTATCACTAATGGCTCCACGTAGTGAATTTAGAGGTATTGCAATTTCTTCAAGTTTGGTAGCATTATAGATATCTTCTGGAAGTAACCCTGAAAGGTTATTGTGACCAGCACGAAAAACCTCAAGTTCGGAACACTCCCCTAGCCCAAGAGCAAGGTT